TCTGCAGTGCCTCAACGAACCCTATGACGACTGACTACCTCGAACCTTGGCTCCCAACAATGTAGACCGAAAGTCTCTGATGTTCCAGACTCCAGACATACCAAGCGACAGGGTTACTGAGTCGAATGAAATTAACTATACATACCATTGGAACTCCGGCACGCAATGGAATGCTACGTTAGGGAACGGAGTTCACCGCCCCCCAAGTCTCCGCGTGTCGACATGGACAGCAATAACAACCACGGAGTGCGATGTCCACGGTGATTGTTGCTGTAGCCCTTTGACCCTTTGAGTTGGGCCCCCGGATCGTCCAATTCCGGGGTGGTCTGGCAGTGCAGTCCGTCTGTGAATCTCGCTGCCTAGTCTACCTAGTAGTCTATCTAGGCTGAGAGTTATGAGGATCACAATCCAGTGTCCAACTCTTGGGGTTGTCCAAGCTAGCTTGGCAAAACCCTGGGTGGTATGAGTGTATAGGTACCTTAACAGTCAGATCTGCTGGCTGCAGAACCGACCCTTCGGTCGCAGCATTGCAAGAAAAGCAGGTCGGTGAAATCTGTACGGAGTAAATCCAGTACCTACAGTAGTTCCGAAGGTTCTTCCTCAGACTACCCGGTAGACCCTTAATCTCCGTGACCAAACTACGAGTAGAAAACATGAGAAACGGGAGAAGAAAAAGAGGGTCCGCTGCAGCCAGGTGTGGTCTCCACTTGTGGAAAACACAATACGTACTAAAACCCAAAAACTTGCACCTCCGGTCCACGTGATTGTTATCCCAGGATTCTGGGATTGGTCATGGGTTCGAGAACATGGAGTTCTGACTTCTGGCAATTGAATGTGCTTTGCCTTGGACATAGAGGGCAAGAGCCCAGGCGCATTCGGTAGCCTGGTGCAGTGTGAAGACCAAGGGAGAGAGGGTGGGTTTTACGTATGCGGGTTCGGTTTATTGGGGCCCTGACCCTGACCCGGACCCGGACCCGGACCTGGGAAATGGATGTGAGACATTTTTCAGGGGAAATGGGAACACACGCACGCACACACTCACTCACACGGGGGTTATTCGTGCTCCGATCGGGGCTCTCTTTATCTTTTCTTGGGTTGGGTATATAGCATCGAGCGCGCTTGATTGTTTGGTTCGAATAGAGGTGCAATTACTGCAATTACTACAGTACGTGGTATATTCTCATGTAAATGCTGGGGTATAAAGTGTACCGGCGACATCGACCTTAAATCATTCGACATGAATGAAGGACAGTGCTGAGCTCTCCCCAATGATCTAACTTCATGCAAACCGCGTCCTGGTTTGACATCCAGGTTTTCTAGGATTTTGCGCCGTGGGAATGGTGCCTGGCACGCGTTCCCTAGGCTCGCACCCCGCGCGCGCCGAGAGCGAGAGACTAAGAAGTGGTCGGAGCGACGGAGCCCACCTTCCCCACCCGCCTGCTATATTTAGACGCGCCGAGCAGCCGGCCAGCCCGGCCAGCCCGGCCAGACGCGGCTACTTTATCGTGATCGACATCCAGCGGTCACCGCCATTGGGTGGTGGTGGTGTCATGTGGACGGGCGGATGGGTCCCGCTGGATCTTGAATTTTGATTCTCGAGGGGAGGGGGCTGGGGTACGTTCCTGATCCTCTGGCTGACTCCCTGGCTTGTTAATAGGCTGTACTTATGAATGTTGGATTGGGAGGAGGTAGGTAATTGTTTTTACATTGGTACTCCGTACCGTGAGTGGGTTTTGGTTGTAGCCTTGGAGCATACGGGATAAGGGGAAGTGCTGAGGAACGCCCGCGGCGCTCAATGACATCGACCCGGACTACCGTACGGAGTACGTAACCCTAATCTCAGGGTCTATAGCGCGTCCCCACCGGAGACCTATGTATCCACATGTGGGTCTACGCTACGAAGAGGAAAAAAGAGAAACGCAAAAAGGTCGTGCCCGGGATCGAACCGGGATTACAGGAATCAGAATCCTGGGTGCTAACCATTACACTACACAACCGTGGAAATGAGTCAAGACGAGGTCGTGCCCGGGATCGAACCGGGATTACAGGAATCAGAATCCTGGGTGCTAACCATTACACTACACAACCTGGTAGTTGTTTTCCTGTTAACTTATACTTATCATGTTCCTTTCCTCTATTCAAGCCGTAGCAGTTCTCTTCATCAATACCTACCAGAACAGGGTTGGGGGGTTACGCGACATGTTTCAAGTGTCTAAGACATATAGATAATGCTCAAATATATTCACCTCCAATGCCAAGCATAGCCATCCGAGGTTTGCCTGAGGATTTTTGTTCCACATGTTACCTTATGTATGCTGCTTATGAGTCTACTTCCTGTCATGGTATATAGGTAGCACGATCCAGCTCATTCGAGGTGTAAAAATAGGTAGGCAAAGAGCTGCATGCCAACCCATCTTCTATGCCGCAAAATACATATGTCAACTTGGGGTAGCCTGTAGAAACAGGTAAATACCATTGTGGTCGCGTAATGTTCACGAACGCAGCACCCCGACGCTAGCCAATCTCCCCAGGAGACAAAAAGATATGAAAACAGATCAGTGGCGAGATAGCAGAGCTATTGGATTGTGCACACACACACACACACACACACACACACACACACACAGAGAGAGAGAGAGAGAGAAATCGCATGGGCAACGAGAACAAACTGCTGGGTAGATGATGTGGCCGTCACATTGCCAATGGTTTGGTCACAAAGCCGTTGGCTTGGCTCTTATCATCAATGTAATTGCCTATATCTGGGGTATGTTATTTCCGGCGAGGATCAGGCACCGGATGTTCCTGTAAGGCACTGATAGAGATACCTAGCAGAGACAATCGATCCCGCGGCTGCCCCTGGACCAGTCAGTCTTATTGTATAAGTGACGAGGGGACCGATTCTGTCCTAGACAACTCACATTGGCTCAAAGGATACAATAGGATTGACCTAGGTGGACAATGGTTGATGCTCAGTTGGCAGGTCGCATGCGGTCTTATCTCTCTATGAACCTACGAAGATTGGCTGATAGGCAAAACCACAAGCATAGTGGTTGCTTCTAAGACACCTTTGGACAGCAGATTGAAACGATCTTTTTCTAAGTCTGAGATCTCTGGGCTGAAATCGTATGGCATGGAGAGACACGGAGTGCTGGTGCACGTGGGCTTGACTCCATCGCATCCGAGTGAATGGCCCTCAATTCTGCAGGTATTTTTTCTCAGCCTCAAAGCTTGACACTGCACACAACAACCGTGGCACACATTGCTAGCAGCAAATGCCCTATAGCTCCACAGTCAGCGCGCTGAATCGAAGACTCTATGATAGTAGAATGAGCTTATATCCATACTTTAAGGCACAGTGCCGGCCCCACTCAACCTAGCAGTGAACGAACACACCAAGTGGGTCCATCCGACGGTCCCGCTTCTTTACGAATGCGAGCTTCCCTTTCCAGCTCAACTTCAGCATCATCCAGATAGAACATTCTCTAGAAGATGGTACCAACGATGATTTTGGCTGCGATTCACGCCGCCCCTAATCCAGAGAAGCAGGGTTTTCTATTCTCGCAAACCACTATAAGAATCCAGACTCCTGCCCTCCAACACGATGCAAACCACAATAACCTTGCAGATTAAATCATCTACTTCCAACAATGGCAGACCCCAAGCAGCAAAAGATCTATCGCGCCTGGCCCACGGACATGCCAACCTACACCCAAACCAACAACGAGCAAGTCCGAAACATCACCCATAACAGAGACTGGAATTATTCCCTCTGCGACTGTTTCACCCCCGGCTCATTATGTGGGTTCTTTGCCCTCGCCAGAGGAACCCCCTCAACCCTGATTCCAGGAGTGCAGAAAACAAACCACTAATACTTAAAAACCGCCAGGCCTAACAAGCTGGTGTCTCCCATGCCTTACCTTCGGAAAGACGCAAGCGCGCATCCAAGACCCGACACTCCAGAACTTCAGCTACATCAACACTGACGTGAGTGACACAAAGACCACTAACGAGAAGGGCGTGCCTCTGCCTTCCCAACACCCTTCCTCGTCAACATATCCATCGCACCGTAGACTAACTATGTGAGCGACAGTGCGCCATCTTCACCTGCCTCGGCCTCAGTCTCTCCCAGTGGATCATCCAAACAATCCGGCGCGGCGAGATGCGCGAGCGCTTCGGCATCGAGGGCTCGTGCTGCGGCGACTGCTGCACGGCCTTCTGTTGCGGGTGCTGCGCCCTCATCCAGGAGGAGAAGGAGATGGAGCTGCGCACGAGGCCGGAGCTCGCGGGGTATCAGGCGGCGCCGCAGATGGCGTATTCGGCGTAGGTTTCGGGGTGGAAGTTCATACGGCTCATTAAGCTTGAACTGGGCATGAGAGAGGCTGTTTCTGGGTCCAGTTGGGGGTGTGTTTGTGGTATGGATTAGGTTGGGTTGTGGGCAAGAGATGTATCTGTGTCTATGACAGCCGGAAGATGCTGTCACCAGTGGCACGACGCCAGGGGTTTTCTTTTGTTCTTTGTATACCCTATTATCTGTGGTGTTTCTAATACCGAACCAGAAATAAAGATTAATCGGTCTATCTTGGAGTGGTAGGCAGTAAGTCATTGGGGAGAAGAGAGTGGAGAGTTGGTGCTGTGTACAGGCGAAGACCAGAGGGAAGGGGATCTCCCTGCATACACAGCGGAATTAACCTGCAGCACAGTACATGGACAAGGCAGCGGGCCTGAGGCCTCAGGCATACATCCGAGGGGTCTGAGCGTAAGGCGCCGCTTTAACAGCAGTTTTCTGCCACCGCCCAAATTGAACAGTTTCCTGGTTCGGTTTTTCGGGACTGTGACTGGTGGATTTTCGGGTTTCCACCGTCGAGGTCGCGGGCGTTCTGCCGGCGGTGGCGGTGAGGAAAGCGGTCAGTAGCTACTGGCTGCTGTGGGGAGCCTGAGAGGTGTCGGTGCGGCAGTCGCCGTGTTGATAGTGCCGCAGACTGCTAAGCAATGGACTTCTCTACTCATCCAGCTGAATATGGTACCACTTTGAAGACTTGAGCCGTTCGTCTGGTGTCTCTCCTCTGACGGCTCTCCTCCTGAATCTGAGATGATTCACGAACTCCATTATGGGAAAGAGATGACATGCAAATTGGACAAGTAGTGTAGACAGCTACGACCCCACATGGCAAGGCATCCGGATTGCACAGGTATGTGTCGCCACACCCAGGTGTGCAGATTCATTAAAAGAATATTATCAGGATAAGGTATATACAGAGCATTAACGTGTGAAACCGGACACACCAGACAAATGGTTCGATGCCACAAGACAGTCCACTATTTAGGGGGGAAAATATTCACGAGAATTGAAAAAGAAAGGAAAGGATCGGATCCTTCAGCGCCAGGCCTCAGTCTCAATGGGACGTGCTTGCTATACCATGCTCTTGAAACTTGACGCAGAGCGGAACAAGCTTGCCAGCGACGGTAGGGACTTGAGACGCTGAGGCCGTGGCAGGGTTTCGTGCAGCGACGCCGGGGTGGGGAGATCCGGGCTCGCGCACTGCGAGTAGAACCGGCCGATGTCACCATCAGAGCCGTACTCGGTGGGGGTCGCAGAACTGATCGACCGGGGGATTCCGTCGGTCGAGATCTGAAGATTGCTGCCCATGTACTGGGCTTGGTGTCGCACGGGATATGCGCCGAAACAGGCTCGGGGAACGAGACCCTCCTGGGCAGTTTCAAGGACGTTGACAAGGGCCTGCGGAGAAGATTTCATTAGCATACGTGCGATGGCACATTGTGGAGAAGGGATTGACTCACCCATCCGTCGTCGTAGACGAGATGCAGGACGGCAGTTTGACCCTCTTTCAGCTCGACATGCTCGGGGCTGACAGGCTTGAAGTCCATCTCTACCCGGTACACTCTGGCGAAGGAAATATCGGGCGTGCCGGGATAGGTCCGACTTTCCACAGTTGGGCTTCTTGAAACCCTGTCGACAGTGGGGCTCCTTGACACTGAGGGGCTGCTGCTCGCTGATGACGATGACGATGACGATGGCGATGACGATGATGATCCTGATGATTCCGGGGAGATGGGTGTGACAGTCTCCACAGTTGCTACTTTTGCCTCCGGGAACTTGCCCGTCTCCAGTTTGGGCGTGCTTGATACTGCAGCATCCTTCAAGCGACCAACATCACCGACCAATGTTTCCGAAGAGCCAGTAGGGCTCTCGATACTTTCAGTTACCTCCACAACAGGGGCGAGCTCGTTTGCGTGGCACGACCTAGGAAGGTCCCGCAAGCCTTGCTGCAGACTGCTGGTACTATACGTGCTGTATGTGCTATAAGGACGGGGAACGTGGGCCTTGGCCGCCCAGGTCGAATGTACGAACCCGCCAACCTTTTTCAGTGTGGTCACACTCGTCGAGTACACCGTGCGACTGAACTCCTTGATCGGCTCATACTTTGCATTCTCGAAGTGGCGACGCAGGACAGGGATTTTCGATTGATATGTTGTCTTGATCTTGCCGCCCGCTTGACGCATTGCGCTGGCCCCTTCGGTGTAGACCTTGGATGCGTACCTGACGAACTCGTCACTTGTTCTTGGGCTTTCAGGCACCTTCTCGCCGCGGCTTTTCGCGATGATTTCTCGGAGGCGGCGCTTTTTCCGGCGTAGTGACCACAGAATGAGTCCTGCCATCGCGGCGACGACGATGATGACGCTAAGGCCGATAGCCGCCTTTGTGCCGGCAGGCGTGCTCACATGCTTTGTTGAATTAACCGAGAGGACGGTGCTGGTGGCAGTGGCTTCGCTAGTGGTGGATGAGGGGAGAGATTTCGACGTGTTGGTAGCAGTGGGAATCGCCGCTGTTGCGAGAGTTGTAGCCCCTACGACCGGAGCGGCGGCGGCAGCCGTTGGGGGCTCGGCGCTGGGAGCTCCAGCACTCCATTGAGTAGTCGGGTCGGTCGTTGCGATTTCTGCGGCTGTTTCGCTTGTTGTCGCGGCATCGCTAGCGGGAGCTGCCCCCGTATTGGCCATTCCCGCTGCAGTGCTATCCTGTGCACCTACTGGGGCAGCAGCAGCAGCTTCTGTACCGGCACTGGCTGTTGTAGTACCTGCGGTGGCTTGTGTGGTTGGGTCGGTGGCTGCCGCTGCTGTCCATTGCCCGGTGCTCCCTTGCGCTGTGCCTGCCGCACTGCCATCGGCAGCAGTGGCTCCGGCGGCAGTAGTGCCGTCCGCTGCGGCAACTGGGGCTGTCGCTGCCCATGTACCTGTGCCATCTGAAGTCCCAGCTGAGGTTCCTGCCGCCGTCCCTGCCGCCGTCCCTGCCCCTGTTCCCGCCGCTGTGCCTGCTGCTGTCTCGGCTGCTGTCCCGGCTGCTGTCCCGGCCGTTGACGCATCACCGGCTGCTGCACCACTACCTGCCCACTGTCCAGAGCCGGCCACGGAGGTGTCCGCGGACCATTGGCCAGTGCCATAGGCAGAGGCGCCACCGGCTGACCAGGTTGACCCAGAAGCATCGGCCAGTTGAGGTTGCCTCTTAGCAAGGCCGAGGCCATGGGGTCTGTTTCTTAGTCGCATCGTTGGTCCTTAGTATGGGTGTACGAGCATCGACCAAGCATGCAACAATTTTCGATAGTGAAGCTAAAAGTCGGGAAAAGGTTTGGAACTGGACGGCTGTCATTGTAACTAAATAAGTATCAAGCCAGCAGACGCCACAAATCGCTCAACCCATTCGAACCACAACATACACACTACACAAACAAACTACCACCTTCAGTATCCCACTGTGACAATCCACTAACGAAGTGGGGTTGTTCTTTGCGTCTTCTATTGTTGTTGCATCCGCGGGCTGTGGAATGTGTTCTCTATAGTCTATCGCATTCTTAGGGTGGACGAAGCGCATTCCGGCGTCAACCCTAACGCTCTTTGGGAGATTACACATTGCCCGGGAGGACAGTCCACCTCATACAGCGTCCTCTTTATTGTTTCTCCGATTTGCCGTCCGCAGCAGCTTCTCGCTGTCTCTCCGCAGCATGCCTGAGCTTGTTGTCTAGTCAACCCTCGGCCTCCACTTTGAGCTTGATGTATTCTTGAGCCTAACACTCGATGCAGATCACTTCCGCTCCATCAAGTTTTTGGAAGTCAATGATGACGCTTGCACTCAACAGTCTCTCTTGATATCCCAGGCAGAGGACTCACTTGCACCCTTACTTCTGACGCTTACTTGGCCCTCTTGTCACAAGCCGTCGTTATTGTCCTGGCGTGCAGGTACCCGTCCAGGCCTCAGTCAGGGTACGATGGAATGTAGTGGACATTCCTCCAGACGGAGCCCAGTCTAGCGGTACTTCCTCTGTTGTTGTTTTGTGTTTGTGATATAATGGAGTCAATTAACTTGATTCATGAGTTTGCTCACCATAGAGTCAATAATATATGCTTGAGATTACTGTCAACATTAGTAGACAGTAGTAGACACTGAATGCAATACCAAACTTTGATTCCAAAGACTCCTCGTAGTCTCCAGTCCTTGCCATTATCCCACAGTACCCCTACAATGCTTTGTACTATCTACGTCACATCAATATAAATTTCACCTCTACATAATCCCCCCCCACAGACTTCAACCCCTCTCACCGTCCCAACCAACACAGTCTAAAACCGTATTCTCTGGCCATCCAACCCAGAAACTAGACGTATACTCTGTATCAATTCCCAAAACCTCAACCCATCACCCCCAAAAACCACAACAAAGTCCACGAAAACAAACACCACCTTTCCAACCTTAAGAATAATCCCCAGGCACCCAAGGCATCCACCCAAACCCAAACCCAAACCCAAACCCAAAACCCCTCACTACAAGCAGGTACTAGCTACAAGCTAGCTACCTCCCATCCCCTCAAATTCCACAGGCGGTCTAACATCGTTTCCCCTGCAGCTAACCCGACCAGGTACGATCTAGCTTGCCAGGTAAGGTACCTACGAAGCTACAACCCTCCCAGGTACCATTCTATTTCTTCCATTCGGATAGGTCCACTCACCCCCCCAGCTTCTCTTTCTCTTTCTTTCTAGATTCAAGGTTCGCCCGAGAAGGTTAGCTCACATACCTCCGCTGCCTAGGAATCCGCACTATAGACTTCAGGTTTTGGTTGTCGCTGCTGGCCTATCAATATGCTGGTGTTGGGGGGCGTGGTTTCCATGGTGAGGCAAGTAATTTTGTTACCTTATTTCGGGATGGGTACATGTCCGCCTGGCAGGTTGTTGGTGGGTTTGTCGGTGGGGATGGTGGTGTTGATGTTGTTGATTTTCGGCTTGGTGCTATCTCCTCGGGGGCGGTGTGGGCGTGGGCTGTGGGGGTTTGGTTATTGGTGGGGACAGGACGGGACTTGGTGGAGTATACGGTAACGCAGTGTTTTGCTTGGTTGGTGCTGGTGGTGGTAGTCAGTGTCTTTGTATGGGTATCCCTAGGTTGTTATTCTTGTTGTTGTGTCCTTTTTCTTGGTTGTCAAGGATTGGGGGAGGGGAGGGAGGGGATTTGTCTGGGTCGTTGGAGTGGTAGTGTCCAGCAGTTGGGTACTGTTTCTTTTGGTGGAAGTGGAAGGGAAGTGGGTTGGGAGAGTTGTGGTGGTGAGATATGGGGTGATCTATTCCTTGGTGCTATTGATGAATGTCGATGTTGAGCACGGCAGCATATATATCTATATTTTTACGGATATCAGTGGACTAATCCCTGTTATATTGGTGGCGCTCGGCCGTACTCGGTAGTGCCTATTTCATGGACGAGAGATGTGGGTATACTTTATGCTATTATTTTACATATGAGTCTATGTGTAGACTATATTGACTAATTGCTATTGTTCCAGTGCTTGACTAGTCTGCTTGTTGATGAATACTAGGTAGACAATATACCCGCCGACTCGGTACAATCTGAACAGCAGTCGCCGTGGGGGGATGGAAACATGGGATGAACCAACCGAACCAACTCCCTCCCGGTCAATTGAGCTACTACCTAGTATTTTACATGGGTCAAGTCTCCAAGCTCGTACGATGATCTGACCCAACTAATGCATCTGATGCCAGAAATTCAAGTAACTTGCTCACAGGTACATGCTCATGCACACTCTACTCGCTAAAGAAAACATACAGGATTCAGTCCTCCTACCCTTTCTTCTGCCACAGGCCTTGATTCACCTCCCTACCACCCCCCACCCCTTCCCCCACCGCCCAAACACAACACTCAATCCCCCTCTCCCGCAACTCCCCATCAATATTCCCCACCTCCTGCACATAGTACGGCTGCCGCGGCAGCTGCAGCGTCCACCGCCGCCGAGGCAGGTGCAGCCCGCGCAGCGGCTCCAGGAACAACGGCAGCTTCTCGACGGGCTCGCCGAACCAGCTGCAGGGCAGCTGCAGCGTGAAGGTCTGGAGGCTGCGCATGCGCGTGACGGCCTGGCACGTCTCGACCCACTGCTGCCGCCCGGCGGCGAAGTAGACCGTCTTGACGGGGTCCTTGCTGGGCAGCCAGTGGCCCGGAAAGGCCCAGCGGAGCTCGACGGCGCGGATCGCGTCCCAGAAGTCCGCGGGGATCGTGGGCCGCAGGTACGTCAGGGACCAGGTGTTGCTGAATTCGAAGGTGTTGAGCGTGTAGAGGGTGTAGATGGATTCGGTGTAGCTGTTTTCCTTTTGTTAGATGTAGGAATTGGGGTCGGGATTGGGGGATAAGGGATAGAACGCACATCTGCTTACACGTCAACGCCAACGCCAGAAGCCCTGGAGTCGTTGGCCTCCGAGGAGCGGCCTTCGTCGCGCTGGGAAGCCCACCCTGGCAGATCTCACATCCCCGGACCACCCCGTCTTGACGGCCCCCGCCACTCGTTTCGGGACACACGACGTGCCCCATCCGTCGATTCGCACGCTGCACGATATGGATGCGCATCCCGCCCTGCACCAGCTCCCAGATCGCCATGCGCAGTTCCGGCGACAGCTTCGCGAGGAGGGCGCTGTCCCGCTGGAAGGTCCATTCGCCCCGGCTGTCGGGCTTTGGCTGCTGTTGCGGCTGCGGCTGCGACGCACGTTGACCCTGTTGAGCGCTGCTGGATCGCCGGGTCCGAGGGAGGGCGGTTGGCTTGTTATCTTCAAATATGACAAGCATGAATTAGAACCACAATCCTAAGAATGAGGGTAAGGGGGAGGGCGGCGACGACTCACTCTGGTACCGTTGCGCCAGTACATCCTCCCACGAGAAGATCCCCTGCTTGATCCTGGCCATGGTGATCCGCAGAATCTGCGCCCCAGTAGAGAAGGTATACCAAGATGATGCTGTACCAAAAGATTGAACGAGCGAGACCGAAACAGAATGCAGCACCAACTGTCAATAGTCCATGATTTCCAATTGATGATAAGCTCGGAAGGTTGGTTTATCTGCCTGACGCGCCCAGAAATGCCCAGTAACTTGTATACTGGGGGTGATTGAGCCACACGATCGATTTTGAAATCACGCGAGATCTTGTTCGACGTACGTGGCTGCGGGGGTGGGTGAGGGGAACTTGGGGAAGAAGGGAGGGATCCGAATGTAAGCGCCAGCGGTTAACCGGAGAGGAGGTTCATCGTGAGAATGGGGGAAGAAAGAGTCTATGCTGGAACTATACTTGGCGATCTAGCATGAGGGACACCGTTATATATGGAAGGGGTGAGGAAGACACATCATCTAGAAGGAAAGTCGGTGAGGTGAGATTCACCCTCCATTTCATCTAAATACAGTAGAAGGAAGATGACAGAAAGATAACACGGCGATAAGCAGTCGCTCAGTTCGGCGGATGTCGGATATTGTTTGTTGACTGGCAAAGGGAAAAGGGAGATTACAGCCTCGTCGCCTAATCAAAATCCCGCCGGAGAAAGAAGCGGAGTAATTCCTGCTGGATTGTCTTCCTTGAATAACTCCTCCGTAGCCCACACCCTACTCATTTTCATTCAACAATCCCTGCCTCGTCAGGCATCTGTCTTATCGCCTTATCTTCTATTGTGATTTCCTTTCCTGGAGTTGCAGAGCGTGTCACGCGGCACTTGACTACTTTGTCGCTGGATGGATCACAGCCTCATCCATGGTGAGAGAGTCGTACCATCGTGATTATTATCGTTCTGTTTATTCCAGAAAAGTAACGCCCAAACTCAAATCCCACGCACTATCTCCCTCCGGCTTCTTCTTCGCCTTCATGTTGATCCCCTCCAGCGCGGCCACTCCCAAGACACCGCAGCATGCCACAGCAGTCGCAATATGCCTGTGTCATGGACTTGTTGTACACAGACATGACTGGATCGTACAGCGATGAGGGCCCGGTGCCCACCAGCCCAGTCGCACCCGCATTGCTGGGACATTGCGACTCGCCCTCACCATCGTTGTGACTTGCGATAGCTTGAGAGTCTTCAGCCGGATCTTGGTAGTTGACTGACCCGGCGAGGCTGGAGAGAGGCCCCTGAGAGCTTTTAATTCATATATGTTCTGATGCTAGCCTGGTCCTGCGTCGTTTGAAGGGCCGGGACTCCATTGGTATCGAGACGAGCTTGTCACTGGCCGGATGGACAGCAGAAGAGACAACTGTGAGAGTACTGCTAGAGGACCTCGAGGCAAAATGCCGCAGTCATTGATGACAGTCAGCTTTTTGGGGAATTCAGATAATTGAATCAATCGGCGACGTGATCAGGTTGTGGCACTGATGGCTTCTGGAGACAGCCACACATCCCAAATTGCGCGATGAGAGTCTGAATATAGACCCGGAGAGACCCGGCCTGCCGGAATAGCCTTTTTATAAATTCTTGACCTTCCTGGCGTGACTCGTCTAAGTAAAGAGCAATCCTGCATAGTACGAGATGGGGGAGAGACGGGGAGACAGAGAAGGATGAGATATCCAAACGGACCTAACCGAAGTGGAAAAGCGTCAAGGTGGCTCACACTGAATGATCCCCGGGAACTCCATGCCTTAGCGCTCAGGCTAGCCCAAATTGAGGGCCTGTTCAAGGCCCTCAGAGGGGCGGCCCGCAGCGCTTATTTCCATGGGGGATGTTCGAGATAGCGGTACGGACTTATTTGATACTACGGCAGGAACTAAACCAGTTCACTCACTTCGACTCACCATGCATCAGCATCCTTCATCTCAAACGAACTATATCGGACACATTCGGAATTATTGTAGCTGACATGGCCGTCCGCATATATAGATAGTCTTGAATGTACAGGTATAGAAATGATGCATAGATCAATGTTATTTGACGATCACTTAATACCAAATAGGACCACGTCGACTACTCTAGGCTATTCGTGACGATATTATCAATTGATGACAAACAAGGAAAGTGGGAGTCTACAGCACCGCGAAAGCCGAGACATAGCTCACCGAGCTGTCGTTTACATCCGTAATATCGGCACTTCGCTCGTATCGGACGAAGTGGAATTTGCCCTTCTTGCCCTCATCTTGGCTGGTGATTGCTTCGAGGGCGGCCATGATGACCCCGATGGGGTGACGGCCGCACACGGTGTTTCCCGTCCGCTCGACTGCGTCCAGGAAGCTTGCCGCACGTCCCGTGGTGATGGCCGCCATGGTTGCAATGTCGAACGCAGAGATGCTTTCGTGGATGGCGGGCTCGTGGCGCTGGACGCGGTCCCGTCGCTGAAGGGAGTGTCCGGTGGATACCGACTCCACGGTTGCCTCTACATCTCTGTGGTTGTTGATTCCAGGCTGGGGGAGCGAGTTGGCCGACAGTGGGAGACTCGGTCCTGGTTTGGGCGCATGGGGAACGTAGTAGGTGTACCGGAACCGCAACCCCCAGTGGCAGAAATCCGAACTGATGACAAAGGCGTTCTCGGGATCCTGCAGATAGGGGGCAAGCAAGGTCCCAAAGGCTTCCTCGGTCGCAGCCGTAGTGCTTCCCACCATGATGGGGACTAGCGGTGGATACTGCGATGTCGGCTTGTTGGGATGTTGGAGTTGAAGAAGACGGTGAATGTAGGGCAGATGGAGCTCGATACTGTGCTCCGCTTCATCGACGGACTCATTCATCGTTGTAAACGAGATGTGCGTTCCATTGCGCTTGACGGCTTTGGTAGATAGGAGCTTCGCGATAAGCTCGGTATCAAGCGGCAGAGGGTCATCGGACAGCGGGGTATAGTACGATGTGAGCTCGGGGAGAGCAAGTGTCGTCAGATAATGATGATGAGAGGGTCCCAGCACAAAGATCCGTTTTCTGCGACTAGAGTGAGTCTTTGTTGGCATCTGGGGTACTCTTGATTCTTACGCTTTTGACAAGTCCAGGGCTTTATAGGCATGGGCCGCACATGGCCCGGAGTATGCATAGCCCGCATGCCTGGGGAATTAGCATGCTGTCCAAAGATGAATAGTCACATTATGTTGGACATACGGAGCGATAATGATACGAGCACCAGGCACAGGCAGTGATCCAATACCCGGGATCTCGTTTGGGACCTGAGCCAACCACTGGTCCAACTGACGCGTCAGGGTATGTTGGCTATCGGAATACCAAGAACCAGCATGGGTGGCTTCGCGAGACGGCATGCTGAGTGGATTTTCTTCCTCTGCAAGAGTATAGCAATAAGAAGTTCGATTAAAACTGCAAGTTTACTATCTGGGCCCTAGACCGAAGCGTGTAGACGCAAGAGGGTATAAGGGATTGGTAAGTTGCAGGTGTTTTGTCGGTCGGTCAGAGTCTCACAGACAGCTTGATGAAGCAGAAGCGGGGAAGTGGGACTCCTCTCGTCATAGGCACAAAACAGCGGAGTTTGCCTCGCTCAGTATCAACACTTGAGTCTTTCCTCCGCCGGTATGCCGAAGGCGGCATGCCGATCATTATATACACATTGTAAAACATTTGATCGATTATACACATTGCGAGGTCAGTATCGAATGTCCTGATGGAGTCTTAGGTTATTGTAGGCCAGGCATTCCTCAGATGTGATGTGGTAACTACCCCCATATGGTAGGCCTCAAGTGATCCAGGGTAGGAAATCAATACAACCATAGCAATTATGATTGTGAAGCCAGTCGTTACATGCGCTTTGGCAGCGCTCACTGGAGACCGATCCAAGGCATAGTAAAGTAGATATCGTTCTTCTTCTCGGCATAATTCATACGTCTGTCCTGGATTTGAGATTAGAGCACCACCTTTGCATCTGCGCCTTGTTGGAATCACTGTTTCCTTTCAGAACTAAACCTGTGAGCTTCCAAGTCGATGTGCTCACTAAAGTCCTATAAAGGGGGCAATAAATGCTAATCATCAAGTTATTCAGGGCAGTGAAGTATAGATCGAGAAATCAATCGACACAAACTACGGGATTCAGCCAATTTACCCCCAAATAGGAATAGCGCATATTTCATGTAGTGCGACGCGGTCTCGCCTTCATTTTCTCCGCGATCCGACGCGCCGGCGTCTCGACCAACCACGCCCGGAAAGGCTTTCTACCCCAGCCTTGTTCTCCCCCTCAGCTTATATATTGAAAGAGCTGCTCTACCTCGTTCTTCATCTATCCACCAGGTTCATCTTTCACAATTGCTCCCATAACGTTCGTATATATACTATTTCGATCAACATCGCATTGCTCGACCGGACGATACACTATCGACCTTGCAATCGGCAATTGAGACCTCAAGCCATCATCATGTCCCTCAAGCGCAAAGCTTCATTTCCAAGCCTCGAATCACAAAATGCCCCCTTCGGTTCGATTGGGGGTTTCGGGAAGGGGGAGGAACCACCCCAGCATTTGAACAGTCGGACACGAAAGCGTTTCAGGAACGACCGGCCAGAAGAGAAAGTTGTATATGGTAAGGCTTGTTGATTGCTCTCATCGTCCTGGCATTATACTTACACCTTTCAGAGAACACACTTCGGTGGCTTTTCACAGCCCAACAGCAACAAAGAGCCGCCCCCCTTGCAGATGAGGAAGAACAAATAAATCACGAACCAACACTATCCCCTGAGACGGTCGACCCGCGCCAGCAGACGTTACTCAAATTTTTCCGTCCTTGCCAATCATCCCCCAATAAATCGCAGCCGAACAGCTTCATGCCGAAGACCAGCGAGACTCCGTTCTTTGGCGCGACACCTATGCACCTTCACAGTATGCCAATCTCGGCTCCGGGACATTCAGTGGATAGCGATACATTCAGCCCTGCTTCTCAGACCACGGATACTGATATGGATGTCGACATGGAGTCGGCTAGTGATGAGTCGAACTGCTCATCCAGAGCACCAGCTGGCGGACTCGCCTGGATGGGACACCCTAGGTTCTGAGCGCCAAACGAAGAACCTGATCTCTTCTATGTCGCAATCGACAATCTCTTTTCCATTAGCGATGATACCAAACCTTACACTTCGTCACACTGGGGTTGACTTACCGGCTGTTGCTGGTCACGTCGGTTCTATTCAGACCCCAAGCTGATGCGTCTTGTCTTGGACAAGAACTGCATGACGTCACTCATTTGTAAATTCACAGCTTCAATTGAAAAGCTGTGTTCTTGCTCCGAAACGAGCTTGAATGTCTCTGGCCCTGCTTGCATTGATGTGGCTTGGAAGGCTGAGACGGCCGCGGCTTCGGACGCAGCCTCTATGTGAATTATATCTACATAATACTATTGAGCATTAGAACACAAAGCTGGTATAACTGAATCAATGTCTTATACAATCTGTCTGAATGGAACAATCAGTACCATAAGAGACAACACCTAGTATTGTTTCGGCAGTTCCGTGTTATTCAGTAGTCTTGGAGTTTCATCAACGTGTACAAGACACGAGGAGACTTGAGCATAATTAACAAAATATTGAGGGAACCAAGTTTCTTGATTCCCCGCGCGAACTGCTAAAAGAAACATGTTTTTTTTACGAACAATGGGTGGCTGAAGCTACAGCAAGTGGTACCTAGTTAGTCACACGCTCAGTTTTCGGGTGTCACATGCGGGGGAGGAGCAGTAATGCCTAAGGTCTCCAGCGGTTCCGACTATCCTTGACGCTACTACGCTGGGGTGACCGACCATCTTTCTCCTTCCGAGGACTAACCTGGGACCACCCAACCGGAACACGCCCAATTTAGCTTCGAGGAGAGCCTTCGCCTCAGCTGAAGATATAAACCCCGCCTAAATATTTTCCGACCGACTACTGCGCCCCAGGCAACTGTTACCCTCTCGAGTCGAGTCTCGTTTAGCATCGGCCAACGCAGAACAGTCCAGACCGCCAAGTTCTCTCCTGCGAGTGGTCGCATTCAAACCCCCCGCTCTCTCACCTGTGAGGTCAAGCTGGTTAGTCCGCCTAGGACAAGTTCAACAAAAATTCTAAAGGAGGAAGAGAGAGATATACAAATCATGGATGAGAACACGGCAGTGCAATACTTGGACTCCTTGATCGGTCGAACCCTCCGGGTGCACGCGACAGACACGCGCATTTTCGTGGGCACCTTCAAGTGTACCGATGCGGTAAGTGCTCTCTTTGTCTTCAATGATTTGTTGGGGTCGGAGTTGGCGGAGAAGATACGAGACTTTTTTTCTCAATTTTATTTGGGGTCGCTGTTCAACTTGGGGTTCAGGTTCTGACTTGATGTTGTCGCTCTTTCTTGCATTAGGCACGAAATATCATCCTGGCCAATACTCACGAGTACCGGTATCCCTCTCCCTCCGCCGTTCGAGACGCGGCCACGAATGCGAATGAGCTAGCCGCAGAAAGCGCGGGGACCGCGCAGAATAATATCAAAGTGTCCATGACTAGTCGGTTTATCGGGCTGGTGGTCGTCCCCGGTCAACATATTACTAAAATTGAGTTGGAAGAGACCCCGCAACTGGGTCGTATGCGGGAGACACTTCGATCATAATGAGGTTGTGATCTCCTATTGAAAGACGGACTACTGGAAGCTGGACTACCCGGCGGCACGAGATGCTCCAAGCTACGAACACAAACACTACACTATACTCATGCTATCTGGGATGATGATGGGGCGAAGGGGGAGGACTTTGAGATGAGAATTCGTGGAAGGGAGGGGGGTGAAGACCTCATGGTGACCCAGGAGACGCATGAGTAGCGCACAGAGCCGAAGCAGTCTGCACGTTGACCCTGTGCCAAAGGCCCACATATGCCTCGCTTTCAGGGAGGAGCTTTCTTAAAGAGAAATAAGGGTTTTCCCTGTTCCCCAGCTGAGCTGCTGTGCGAGCCAAGGCAAAGCCCTCAAGCACTCCAGCGACAACGTGGTTAGGAGAAATATTCAGACAAAGTCGTTGGTGCTTGGCGCAGGGTGCATGGGCTTGGCAGCAGCAGCCACCGTCGTGGCCATGCAGCACGGGGCTGTGGTCGAAATGGCGGTGTTCCTGCAGTTTGGCATACCGCTGACTGTTGCATCGTTGAGGTGATTTAAAGGGTATCTCGCAGCGCATGATCCTTGCCTTCGCAACTTTGCTTCCACTCGAACGGGGGTGGTACAGGGCCAGCCCGGGTTGGATGGCCGCGCGAGTGGTTGGAGACGATATCGCTATCGTGGAACAACAAGGTTATGACTTGTAGTTCGGCATCGTGTATCTATATCTAGCCACCTCGAGTGGATCACTCCGGACGGCGAGTCGGGTGTGGTCGGAGCGTTCTGGAGGCTGACTGTCGGTGATCATCCGAAGATGATTGATGCGTCCGGGATCCAGGCAGAATTGAAATCTCCATGCATCATTCCAAGAACGAAGAACCTATGATTTGGGGAAAGGAACGAAGCCAAGGCCTTGGAGGGGTGGACGCGGTGGAAAGAGACCAACCATGTGCCTTTTACGTAGAGCAGCAGTGTTCAGGTTCGATAAGTGCTCTAGATCTCATGAGGAAGTTTGTTGGGATCGAGGTGAATGAAACAGTCATAATGTCATCGACGATCTCACCGTAGTGACCGATGTTATAAATAAGTCGGATGGGGACTCAGACAGTCTGGATCGAAGTAAGATTTGACCTGAGGCGATAAGATTGTGTGGACAGTGACAAAGACCCCCACACCATCATCCACAATTGAACACAAATCAGCATCAGCATCAGCATCATCAGCAGCATCATCATACCTAAGTGTATGAGTGTATGCTATAATAAGCAGGCGGTTCCTCATACCGTACTTTCTCTACCACACGTACCATTTCCGCTGAAGCATTTATCCACCATCCATCTATCTATCCATCCACTCATCCAGGCAGCTCCATTCCTGTTCCTCAGGCAACCCACTTGCTACAAAAGCTCTCAGGCTTAAGCTTCCCCGTTCCGGGCCGACCGATTAATCCGGACATGCCACACTTGGCTGCAGGATTCGAGACCAAAAACGAACTGAACCGAGCTGTTAACGTACTGTACTTAGTACAGTACAAAGTAGTAGACTAACTGAGTGAAAAGTAAAGCCTGGCTGGGTCTTGAGGCGAGAATCTTCACTCTTCACTAGGCTAAGGCTAACTTAACTAACTAGTTAGTCTACAAGTAAAGTAAGTTCACTCCAGCCTTCTCTTTCCACACCGTTAGTTAAGTTACCTAGTAATTCTTTTTCTCTGTTTCTTCTTTTTCTTCTCTTCGCCTTCTTCTTCTTCTTCTTCTTCCTTTACCACCACCAACAAGCTTCTATTCCACTATCGTCATTGGTATTGATCCTTCCAGTAGCTCAAGTGTCTCAACCTTATCCTCTGTGGCTTGTGTGTGAGAGTGAGTATTTTGATCTGGTCTGGGTTTTCCTCCATGCTTTCCACTGCCACATCCCCCCCCC